AAAAAAACATAACTTTAAGTTAAATAATAATTGATAGACAACGATGATGTATTTTTTAATTTTTAATAGTTTTTCAACGAGTGAAAAGTGAGAACGAAAAACCAAAAAAAAAATCAATTCATAATCTGCATTAAAAATAGAACGTCATTTTTGTTGACCAAAGGGAATAAATAAAAATTGAAAAATCCTATCGAAAGTGTGTCATCGGAATTGTGACATATTAGAAAGAATGAAAAGGTTAGAAAACTAAAAATTAAAGATAAAATTAGAACAAAATAGTATTAAAACTTCATTGAAATAAAACATTAAAATTAGGACTTTCATTGACATAAAACAAAAATGATAGAACTCAACAAATATTTGTAAAAAAAAAATAATACTTATTAATATTTTTTCGGAGTTATTCACAACCCATCCATACATAATATATATATTTTTGGTTCAACGGTCAAATCCAATTTATACGCATTTGAACTAATCCCCTCCACGTACATAATATCAAGTAACACCGGTCGATACATAATCCTATCATTTTATTGTGTCCAGTGACCAAGCATTCTAGTTAATTTTGTGCCAATAATATGTTATCTTTGACATATAATGGCGAATGTTTCAACCCAATACGCCCACCTAATCAAAATCCATGTCCTGCATAGTGTATGACTAGCTCAAGTCCAATTTTGAAATTTAGTTGAAGCGAACCTTGCAACATATCTCAATGTATTTCACAGAATACAAATACACTGTTATTTCGAAGCACATGCAAATCCAAGTTGGTCCATCACATTAACACGTACATATCAAACACAACACCACACAAAGATAACACAATCCTCTCAAGATCCCGGTAACTTTCAATCATTTGCTGGATTCCTCAAGTCTTCTTCCCTCCCCAACCTTGTCAGTAGCATTTCCTTCCCAGCATTGCCAGTAGCATTTCCTTCATTACCAAATACACACCCAGAACATTAAAATTAGTGAGGAAACACTACCTAAACAATATTATTTTAGACTATTTAAAGACCCATGAGTTCCAATATTAAAA